AAACAATCAAAGTTTTCAAACCCATAATATCACTGATGACTTGACATCAACAGCAAACCACCTGTTGTTGTTCTCCATAGGTTTCAGTACTTTTGTTTGTATGTTAAAGGGGGGTTGGGGGAAGGACGGCTGGGGGGAAGGGGGACGGTCGGGGGGGAGGGGAGGGGGAGGGGGAGGGGGGGAGGAATCTGGAAAGATAGATCACTTGCCGAGGGTCACAGTGAAATGAATGAGGAGCACAGGGTAGAAACTTGGCTCTAAATGTCGCAAGTCTAAAATTAGCAACAATCTTGTCTTGGCACTCTAAAATTAGCAACAATCTTGTCTTGGGAATCTAAATTTTGCAATGAACTTGACGGCATGCAAAAAATTTCGCAGCAAACTTTGAAGCTTGAAACAAGGATGAGACATGTAAAAAAAAAAAAGAAAAAAAAAAAGCAGACTCGGCTGGTTACCATGAGCTGACGGGCTAAGATGGTTCGGAGGATTCCATGCAAAACTTCAAAAGGAGGGTTTAAGGTTTTAGGGTTATGGCACCGCTTTGTAAATAGATTTAAGGAGAGGCAAGACGGCTTCGAGGCATACGGGCAGGTTTTCAAGGAGAGGTTACAAGGGTCAGCTTGAGTAGCTGCTCAGCTCTTTCTAGATTTCCACGATATATCTGGCAGCTTAGCTAACAGACCTGCGAGGAAAGAGAAAAGAAGGGCGAGCTGACAGTCAATCCTCCACTACGTTGGAGTAATCAATGCTGTTCAGGGGTCCTTCGGCCAGACGGAAAGAAGCGTGAGTGCATTGTTGTTGTAATGCTTATTCAGACTTGCCGGCGGAATAGGAACCCGACTGATGCTCCCCAGAATGGAAAAGGAGCCAGAATTGAGGGGGGAAAAAAAGATAATAAAAAATAAAAAAGAATACATATGGTACGATAGGTTGGAGCCTGATCCCCTGCGTAGGGACCCTTGGTTCTTGAACAGAAGGTTATGTGGATGAGAATCAATAAAGGTGGGGGGTTACGCAGAATAGATGAGGGAGCCGGCACTCGAGCAAGCTATGGTGAACCACAGACTTCGTGCAAACGTGGGACATGCTATGAAACCTCGGAGTCTACAGAGAGTTTATATTTTTTGGTTCTTTTTAAGAAAAAGAAAAAAGGACCAAGCTCAGTTGGTTGAGCACGTAAGTGGTATTCAGGAGGTTGTGGGTTCGGTTCCCAACGTCGTCCATTCAATCCCCAGTGGCACCCTGCAACACGCTTCGGGTTCACCACTGGAGATAATTGGCTTGGGCCTCCTGGCTGGCTGTGGAAGGTAGTGGGTTCGATTCCCCACGTCGTCCATTCAATCCCCGGCGGCCCCCTGTGACACGCTTCGGGTTCACCACTGGAGATAATTGGCTTGGGCCTCCTGGCTGGTTGTGGAAGTAGCTTCGGCTTCCCCAGCTCGTGCCAGGTGTTAGGAGCTGGGGTACTAATCTCCCCGCATAGAGAAGATTGTACAGAGCAGAGGCCAATGCCAACCCATAACTTTCAGGGCCATCCGACTTGTGTGCATAGATAGGCTTCAAAAGAAAAAAATGCAACTGGACTAGGAGGAGATAGGGTTAGGTACTAGGTAGCACTTGTGAGAAAGCCTCGATATGCTTTCTCAGTATTGAGAGAAAAAAATAGGGCAGTAAAATACAGCTTGTCCCCCAATGAGGAGAAGACAGCTGTGTTTTTTTAATATTCTTTTTCTTAAAAAAAAAGAAAAAACAGGCCGACGGCCTTGAGGTATGATCATTGAGCTGACCGGCCCAGGTAATTATTTTATTCTGCACATCTGATTACATCTGGATTCGAACTTAGGTCTGTATTTCAACAGCTCATGGGTTCACCAACTGAGCTAGGCGCCGAAACCTGGGAAGACCCCATGAAGCTCAAAAGTCTGCGAAAGTCTCGCATGGGACATTTATATCTATTAATTTTATTTACTTTGCTAAGGAGGGTGTCTGGGATGTCTTTGACGGTTAAAAAAAAAAAAAAAAAAAAGGAAAAGAGATCTTCTTCCCTCCCACGTCACGTGCTTGTTGGTACTACAGCGACATTACCTGTAACGCAATCCCAGCTGCTCGAAGCAGACCCCTTGCTGCTGCTCCTCGGGACTCTACAGGCATCCATGGCGCACTTGCAAAGCTGACAGTCATCAGAGTCATTCAATTTCAAACAATGTGCAAGTACCGAGACTTGATTTAAAAATAGAACAATTTTGTCCATTGGACCCTTTGTGTTGTGTAACAACTAGGAATAACAAAACACCAAATTTGATAACTGAAAAAAGGAAAACAAAAAAAAACGGCGAAGCTTAGGGAAATTTGCATATATAAAAAAACAGCATCCAAGAGGGAACGACTATTGGATTCCCCTCTTGGATGTCTTCAAAAAAAAGTTAAAAAAAAATACAGCTGCTATATTCAAATTCAACGAATGCGTAAGCACCACAGATGTCTAGAGGTATTGCAGAAAAAATCACATCATCCCACGGACAAAAAGATCACATTATCCCATGATATCAGTAATTCAATTTCATCAGGAGGTTGAACCACAACAGTGTGACAGTCTGTCCAAGATGCATTTGACTGATAGATAATAAGGACTCACCACGTCGCCCAGAGTTAGCAATAAAATACCACTTTGAAAAGTGGTCGAACTTTACTAACATCAACCCTGTGTGTGTGCTGTCATGTTCGCTATACAGAACTCCACACACACACACAATAAAGCGCACGACCGTGCCAGACTGTTGCGCCAGACTTTCCTGGACTCATCAGCAGGTTGTGTGTGTGTGTGTGCGTGTGTGTGTGTGTGTGTGTGTGTGTTTGTGTGTGTGTGTGTGTGAGTGTGTGTTCAACGAGTGTTCACCGAGTGTTCACCTGACCGTCAGATCGATTTGTGAGATTTCCAGAGCCTCAATGTACACTTTTCTGCGATCACTGCGAATGCCCCATGTGTCGAATCCAGGGCCGCCGATTACTGCGATAGCCACTGCTGAAGGGCGACAACATACTTTTCCAACAGAGCCCTTGACGCCTGTCGCTGTTGTGGTGATGCTCGCCATCTCTGATCGTCCTTCCCCCGCTGGCGTACCCACACATGCAGGAGCTACTTTGTCGCTTCCCTTTGAAGATTGAGGGTCCTGTCTGCTAGAGTCGCGTCGAACCAGCGAGTCCACCATGCCCAATATGCGAATCATTGCTTCCTCTTCCACTTCAAGCCGAAGGGGAGCAACCCTGCATGGCCAAGTTATGCTCAAGCGATTAGCAAAGTCAAAAAAAACATAAAATCAAAGAGCACCCACAGTCTTCACCTGGATAGAACGTACGGTCATTATTGCTGTATCAACGAAACTGAAAACTGCCCCAAATACAGCTAGAATGACAGTACATATTTTTTTCAATCATCCATTTGGACTTGTGCACATGTAGGCAGCACCCACAGTCTTCGCCTGGATAGAAC